ACTCACTGTCACCCATTCAGGTATAACCTGAGATGCATAAGTGCAGGGAAAGAAATGTTCATTTGCACAGACATACAAATATGCAGATATACCACAAGCCCATGCATGCAAAGCTAAAGCCAGAAAGAATTAGGTTATTTTTAAATATAATCCTGGTAAAGTTGTTTTTAAAAGAACCCTGATCATACGTTTGGTAAAAACAAATGCATAAAAATTATAAAAATAAAAAAAATAAAAGATAAGAGAACCACAGAGAGAAAGACACTGAAGCCATAAAAGCACTGCTGCATATAAACCAAGCCTGTGATCTCCCAGTGTTATTTTCTCTTATAATGTTTCATGATCAGTTTGTTTTCTTTAAATTCTTTTACACCTTCTTAACATTCAAGCAGACATGAGTTTTATCATGAGATGCTATGTGTTGATATGTGTTTGGTTTCCTGTTTCCTGCCTGAACTCACTCACCTTGTCAGAGTGGAAACTGTGAATCTCTCCACTGATATCAACTTCAGACAGGATGACGAGGACCAGCAACAGCTAGCAAAGCATGCTCAAGTTCACACTAACACCTATTCACCATATTCCTGGTCCTTTAAGATGTCATTGGTGGGGACACTGTACAATGTGTCAGCTCAGTGAGATGGAAAAGGCCTTGTTTCAACTAGTTTGACCTCCATGTAGAAAGCGCTGTCTGTTATTAATTAACTCACAGGAACAAAACAGAAAGCAAGCTGAGGTTGCTTGGAAACTGCTCCTCGTCTAATCATGAGTAAGAGCACATTAATTCAATATGTCAGTGCCCATGTGCTAACAAAACTTCAATGTTTTACACATCACTGTTGTAAACAGAGAAAAAGAAATAAAGCACAAACACTTTTAAGTCACAAACAGAGACATTGAACAGAATCAACACAGCTGCTCTTTCTATCCAGGCCACTCTCCTGAGTGAAATAATACCCCTCTTTCCTTTGATTCCACACCCTACAAGTTTCCTGCCCTGCATCTGTGTTGTACTTACCCAGCTGTGTGCTTTGAAGTGCTGAAGGTGACTACAGTGCGGTGCAGCTCCTCTGCTACCCTTCTACCTTGCTCACTGAACAGGAAGCCTCTGCAGGGCTCTGTGTTTTGAACGGGGCAGACAACGACACAAACATGCTGCTACACATGCTGCTGACACTCCCTCTCCTGTGCCGACTCAGCTAACTTCCTCTTTACCTCCTCTCCTCTCCACTGTCCTGTCCTGTTCTCTGCTGCTGCCACTCCCGTTAAATTAGCACGAGCCTCCTCTGTTTCTTGCAGTGTAGGTGTGTGTGGTGTCTAGAAACACTATACTACCACACTGACAAACACAGTGCCTACTCCTGAGACTTGACTGAGTGCTGAGAATTCTCCTCCCCCCCTCTCATGTAAACTCTTTCCACTCAGCTTTCTTCTCTTCCTCTCCCGTCCTCCTTCTCTCTCTATCCTTCCTCTCTTTTGTTTGCTCCGTCCTTCCCTAGCCACCTCCGCTCTTGCCTCACTGCTGCATCTTCTGGTTGGTTGTACTGACAGACTGACACTGCCTCTGCAGGTGAATGCTGGGAATTAGGCCAAAGGTCGTGCCTGTAGTGACCCCCTACGAGAGGATCAGGTTAAAGTCCAAGAAGCTTTGGTTAGCCTACATACACACATGGGTCCTTGTCAAAAACACATCTTCCTCCACTATAAAAGCTCCTTATTGTTACTACAGTGTGACATTACTGCCAACATCTTCACTACAAACATAGACATATCAGTTTTTCCTTACCAGTGTTACTCTTGACTGGGTCTCAGGTGAGAAACACCACATCAGTACACTGAATATTTTCAGCTGGATAGTGTAAACTGGGGTGTCTCCTGTTGCTGGATATTAGTAGTAATCTAAGGTTTGGGACCCTACATAGTTTTATCTTCCTGAAAAACCAACAGACACACTGTGGGATAAATATACAACATACTTAACCCAGGGCATAAAACCGGATAAGGGTAGTAAAGAGCATCACTTGCTGTCACAAGGAACTACAAGTTTCCAGACATTTTCCCATGTCATGCCCATTTAACTATGATATCAATGATAATAAAAATGAAATAAAAAAACACACAAAACATCTATATGACCAAACAAATGTCACCTGATGATTGAAATCTTTTCGTTTTCACAATGATGTAGTTTGAGGAATTTCTGGGCACTATAACAAATCAGGAGGAGTATTTTTAAAATGGCATGCTCAATGTGAAAAGACACAGTACCTGCATGGAGTCGTTTTGATTTTCCTGGGGTGGAAAGAGAACAACATTTTCTGAGGCGCCCTCTTCTGGCTGTAATAGGGAATGAAAGCATCCATTCATCTTTATGGGAGAAACCCACAGTACGTGCCTAGCAGGAGTGTTATGCTCTAACACACTGAAAACAAACCACCATTGTGTTTTGAGGCAAAAATAACAATGGCAAATCCTACTGTGCAATCACATCCAATGAGATCCAGTGTGCATGGTTTGTATTTCTATAGCTCAGGAGGCAAATGTTTGTCAGGATAATCCCAGATTCTGCTACTGAGGTACATCAGTAGCACAGATGACAGTAATACATGTGACTGAGGTACCTCACATATAGAAATGACAATGCTGTTTTGCAGCTACAAAAAATGGATTATTCAACAAAACTAATGTCACAAACTGCAAAGTGGAAGCTGAAAGCATACACACTGGCCTTCCATCCTTCATGGGAATGATAGGTTTTAGAAGCAGCTTGGAGCAGTAAATATTTTGTATGGCATGGCAGAAACATCTAATATTTATTTTTTATCTCTGCTTCCTACCAGTTAAACCGCAGAAAAAATCAAAGCTAGCAGTTAGTAATTGTACCAGTAGGTGTTAGTTTTGTTAGTTGTGCACTAAAGTTGCACACGAAAGACGTCAAGGCATATATAGCAGCATGGGAGCAGCAAGTAGCAATCTCAACCATCCAGTGCCAGTGAGTTTGCCCTTACCAACACCTCCGGTGTGCTGCTGATGTTCCCCATTGTTCAGCCAGCTGCAGGGCCACAACTGCCCAGACCAACCAAGTCTCACATCAACTGGCTGTAAAACACTAGCACAGAAGGGCTATCAGCATACAGCCGTTCTCAGGTTCAAGAAAGAAAGTGAACAGGGGAGATGCCGTTCCTCACTGGTCACAGACTCATGCTCTGCAGGATTAAAGGTCTTTGGTATGAGGTTGAATTAGCAGGGAGAGAGAGAAAGGCCATGTGATGTAAGACCTCCCTCCTGGACCAAAGTGCAGGTTTTATCTTTGCTCAAGTGGACTTCAAAGCTGGAAAACCGGCATCCTTGATGACAAAATAATCATACAGTTATAAAAGTAGATTCCCAGATATGAGATACATTTAAATGCTACAGAAAGAAGTTACTATGACCTGCAATAAGAACAGCTATGCCTGCAGTCTGTCACTTTGTGCCTGTGTATGTGATGCGGAGTGACTGTAGCTTACTGACACAGTGACCGAGGCTGGGTAATCCTGTCAGTGAATCTCTATGGGGTAAACAACCGACTGCGGTGTCTCATGTCTCCTAGCTCAGTCTATTCATGAACATAACGTAAGGTAAGGTCCAAGCTTTTAAAATTTTCCAGACATATCTCTCATCTAATTTGCCATCACTATAAGCCATATGTTTTAGAAAAACACTGAAGATACTGCAATGGCAGCAGCTTTTAACAACAGATTGATTTTATATCAAATACAGATAGCACCATTTTCATAACTTTATCAAAACAACAATTGTTTTCTTTCTATGTACTATAGCAGAGCAGTAAACATGCCATTGACTGGCCATTTGTGCATTACTCATGTGGCTATGGTAGCTGTGTGTTTAGTCAGAAAACACTGACTTGAATATGCAAGAATTTATAAATAGAGATGTGCCCTGTGCACTGCTGTTAGACTTATACTTCCAGTCTTGTGCACAATGTTTTCCATGCACATTTCAATTGCAAACAAATGTAGAGGCTGTATATTTTGGTTATGAACCATTAAATCGTGGTTTGAATTATTGTTTATTTTCTCATTGCTGTTTTTATTGTGTGGATTTATGTTGATGCCAAAAATAAACAGCTGTATTTCTCCTTCTGTTATGTGGTGTGGCAGCTCCTCTGCCATGCCAGCCTGCCTGCTATTTGGGGTGTAATTTCAGCCCCCACATTGTGGATGAGTGTGCACTTGAACAGGCAGCGACGTTTCAGGGCTTTGTGGCAGCACAGAAAGCACTGGGGGGAAGTCACATGATTAAACTGTTGCCAGGTCTCTTCTCAACTGTCCATCACTCAACATGAAGCATCTTTGTTTAGATGAGGTTACTGTTTCCTGTCCCCATACTCGACTCTTCCACTGACACAAAAACCCAACATGAACAATACCTTCTAACAAAACTGAGTGCTGTATTTCTAATAGAATTTTTAACATAATACAATATAGTATTTCTCAGATAGTAATCTAATTCAGCAAGTCAAGAGACTGAGTTGTGGTTTAATCAATAGATACAGTGAAATCACTACATCAGTTGAGATATTAATAAAACCAAAGCTTTAAGAGTCCCCGACCTGTCTCCTTTTCCCTTCATTTACTGACCAACATATTTGCCCTCCTTCATTTAAAGGACTACTATATACCAAACAAATAATCCAAAATCTGTACCAATCAGAAATTACTCACCACAGCAAACAAGAGACTTTTCCACAAGCAGTGTCTGCTTCAAGCTTTTAAAGCCCTCCAATCTGTGTTTACTGTCAGGCTTAAGGCTCGTGTTTGCTTCTGTCTTCTCTTCTGAGTAGCCTCAGTCTCTCTGTCGCTATTTTTGTAATGCATGCTGAGCGGGAGGAAAGGACAGAGGACAGGGACAGAAGCGGGGACAGGACTGAGGGGAAGAAACCAAACTTGAGCCGGGGAAGCCATGTCTGCTTAGGGTGGTAGTGGTGGGGGCCACCTGCTCTGACAGGCTCAGGAGACCTGACAGTCAGCTGGAGGTACAACACTGTAAACAAACCAACATGCTAGATGGACAGGAGGACAAGGTGTCAGACATCCTAGTTCCCCGACTGATCGTGTAAAAAGCTGTAAATCCTGTAATTATTTTCATCCTAATTGTCTCCGAACCTTTTACACTTTAGTACAGTGATGCTGTTTCACTGCTTCCGATTTTCTCTTCAGTACAGTGATGCTGTTTCACTGCTTCCATCCACTATGTCTCTATAGCTTTGCGAGGACAGCAGCTGAAACAAACGCACAAACCTGCTTGTGACAAAGCCATCAGCAGCAAGAATAATAAAGCAACTGTCCACTCAGGAGCCACATTTACAGATACTGACTACAGGGTTTTGAAATGTATTCTGAATCATATAATCTGCCATCACCACAGGCCTTCATCAGCTGAGTGCCCAGTTTGTGGAGACAGCAAGTGTAATAAATAACAGCTCCGTCCTGATAGCTCTCTCTGCTACAATCAGCATCATCCTCTCACTTCTCTACTCCACTCCTCATCCTCTGCTCTCCATCCACAGTGTTTTCCCCACTGACGCCACCCCCCTCCAACCCTAAAGTACACCTTCTCTCTCTCTCTCTCTGCCTTTGCCTGAGTAAACACTTGGCTCTTGAACAGTAAAATGTATTCCATTTACTCCTGCACTCTCCCTCTGCTCAGTCACACAGGCATTGGCACTACACTGCAGACAGCCTCTGTTCAGCACACTCCCTCTCCTCTGTTTACCTGGCTGCGTGAGATTCCAATGCAGCTCCCCATCTTGTATTCCATGTCCTCCTCTGGTGAAGTGACTCTGGCACTACACGGCCGGCAGAGCACCTTTCTGCAGAACTGCATCGTTATCACTCAGACTCAGCATTGCCAAAGCAGGCAGATCTCTGCTGGAGCTACAGTGAGCGTGTGCACGCCTGCGCGTCTAAATGTGTTTGCCTCAGTGACTAATAAATGCTCTCCACTGCCTTGCCCATGGGGCTCCCGTGACATACATTTTGAAGCCATTGTTATATAAGAATTTACCTTACAAAGGAATCCAACCTAATGACATGAGTGAGGGGGGAAAGGGAGCTACTCTCTCCAGCTATGGAGCTTAGCCTCACATCACCACATGGGTGAGCAAACTGAAGCACTGCTTTGGAGGGAAAACATAGAGAAGAAGAGATGGGAGGCAGCAAAAAATGTGCCTTTCTCTTTAAGAAACTCAGAAATAGAAACGATGACGGCAGCACATCACTTCAACAAGCCATGATGATATCAGTGTGTTCACCCAATTAAATTTGATCATAGTGAAGTTCACTCAGTCCAAATAGAAACATGGATCCTGATAGTATATGTTATACCACAGGTCTGAGTTTGACGACCCACAGGGGTCTATCCATATTGTTGGAACTTTAGAATTCCCTCTACCTGTTTTGACATCATCAAGGGCCAAAAAATAATGAAACTACTGGCTAATCTACACCACAGCACTGCACCTTACACAAACAGAACAAGTTGATTAGTGGAAGAGCAGCAGATACAGTAGCAGAAGAGGTTTCAAGAGCACAGTGCGGCGTAAGGCAGCTACACACAAACAGGTCAGTTAAAGGTGGTGTTGTACTGGACCACATTATATTTAGAGAGGGCTCTATGTTTGTGTCCTCCCCAGCAACATACATGAGAGGTTCAGAATATTAGGAACACCTCTGAATTTAATGTAGTCCAGTAAGTATATGACTTCAATAATGGGCAAATAATTGAATTTATACATTAGATGACAATTTCACCAAAAACTAGAACATTTTGAGCTTCATTAACACAGATGTTAAGGCGAAGGTGTTGCATTGAATTACATACAATTGTACAGGTGTACCTAATTAAGTGGCCAGTGAGTGTATATTATTGCAAAAATGACTCAGCTAGATGGAGGCAGAGAGACAACAGACCATCACTGCTTTAAAGAGATGAAGGTCAATCTCAAACCTTTCGAAACAACCTTAAAGTTTCTTCAAGTGCAGCCGCAAAAACCATCAAACATGATCACAAAGGCTGCTTGAGGACAGAAGACCAAACATCACCTAGAGAAGTTCATCAGGATTTCCAGTCTCAGAAATCACCAGTTAAAGGCGCCTCAGATCAGAGCCCACATCAACGCTTCAGTTGAAGTAGCAGACATATCCCCACAACACCAACTCCGTGGAGGAGACCATGTCAATCGGGCCTTCAGGGTTGAATTATTGCAAAGAAATCATAACAGAGGGAGATTAATAAAGTTTTGGTGTGTATATAAATGAAGAGCACCAGTAAACCCAGGTTTTAACTTTTCAGCATTCACTAATTCTTATATTGTTATAAAACGTGTTAAGGACAAAATATCAGAAACATACACAATAAACTATGTTGACACTTTTAAAGAATAAAAACTGATGTCATTGTTAAACACCTATTTACACATGCTATATATACATTTAAAAAACATCACCAGCTTTTACATTTGCCTTTATTATTTACACTCATAAAAACAGTAAAAGTATTAAAACTATCTACAGTAGAAAAATTTCCCTGCCTTGTCACTATGACAAGAGTTTACAAGTAACTCTGCTTTTAGAGATAAAAAAAAAAGAAAAAAATAACAATACAACTAAAATCAATGTTTATAATTCAAGCTGATGAAAAATGGTGCCATCCGTCATTCAATGTTGTGTGTTTGGATGAATCATTGCGTCTCTGATGTCAAAAGCATCAATAAGCTCCTGAAAAAGAACAAACAGAATAATAAAATTATGACCAGACACACAAAACTATTTTGTTTTTTTATTATAAGTCTTGTATTGTAGCTAGATTTAGTCCTGTGTTCAGGCCAAAACCTACTGACCTTCCACGTCTTCGGGCTGATAGAGATGATGCACTGTTTACGACTGGTCGATCCTCCAGCTTCCACCTCCCCCTCCTCTACAGGTGCTGTGACATAAAAAAAAAAATAAAAAAAATACAGCACAGACCAAAAAATTCACCTAAATTTTTTTTTTTTCAGAATAACCTAACAATGTGACATCTTCTCACCTATACAAGGTAATTTGGCACTATCCAGATACATCCGTGCCCAACCATCCTGAAACACAAACATTATCACACGATTAAGACTCACTAAAGTGCAGACAAGGTCAGTATAAAAACACTTTAGCACAGGCAGCTCACCCTGATGAGAAAAGACGTGTGGAAAATGTTCTCTACTGTCCGGGAAAACGAGTTGGGGTCAATGACAAACTCGTAGTAATATATTGGTGATTCTGCTGTGAACGGAGCAGACACACAATAGCCCATGACAGATTTACAATATATTCAAAACTATATACAATGATGAATTTTCATATACAGTATGTGAGGTTAACTTAAAACCCACGATCATCTTGGTAGTAACGTTTCAGGTGTCCCAGGACCCTTTCCACCTCTTTCTCTGTCGCTTCTTGATGAGACTCTTCCATTTTCTTCAGCTGCAAAATAACATTATTGTGATGCAGCAAGTATCTTGGATATCAAAACATTTTCTTAATTATCTGACACATTAGTCCTTCTGGTATCTGCTTCCAAAGGCATTTACATTACATGTAGACAAGTAGAGCCATAAAAGTATAAGCAGAGCTACCTGAGTAGGCATTATCCTTTTGGCTTCCTTGGTGGGTGCTTTCCTTTGCCGCTCTATCCTTTGCTTTGGAGGAGGAGGCTCTGCATGGAAGGAACCCATCCTGGTAAAAGGAGCCACAGGATTGAAGAAGTCAGAGATAGAAAATACTGCTGGGGAATAATAATAAACTAGGAAAAATGTGATCATTTACCTGAAAACAATAGTAATAACAAACCCATTTTAACAGTTTTTAAATTGTAGGCTTAATGTGCACCCTCTCTGATCTTTCAGTGTTGAATTTGATTAATAATATGTAGTTTATTGGGGACACTACAGCACCATGACTGTGCCTTTTTACAAACAAATGCACTTAAGTGAAAGCTGGCACAGAAAGTGCTGAGGCACTCACATGTAGTGGAAGGAGGGTGCTGTACTGAAACAGCACTCTGCTTTCCTGGCCACTCTGTGCCAGGCATCCTGTGGCAGGTAGCCGTCAGCTCCACCCCCATTCTGCTGCATCCTCCCCATCTTCTAGGCGATTAAGACCCATGAAGGACAGCTGTCAGACAGGCAGAGACATGTCCGCATAAGCAATGCAATGTAGGAAGCCCTGGTGCTTGCAAAAGTATTACAATTTTCTACATTATATAGGATTATATATTTATTATGTTGCTATTTTTTCTCTTTTGGTTTCAACAGCCAATAAAATAATTTAATACTGTAATAATTTAAGACTGCAAGACACTGGGATTATTCAAGAAACTGACATTTAGGTAAGATCCTTAAGGGGTTCTCCATTACGATACAATGCTTATTTTTGGTTACTGTAGTTGGAAAGTTGTTTTTTTTTTTGTCTTAAATGATACATAGCACCTGTGTTATGTATTTACACAGCAGATATAACTGCTTCTGTTCAGTTAAATGAATGGGGGAGCATTTCCATCTGGTATACATCATCTACAGTAGTGCGACTTCAGATCTTCATTCTAGTCACAAGACACTTTCCCCTGTCACTGGGCCACCTTAGTAGTGCACATCTGTGTTCCTCAACCAATGCTCTCTATATGCAGTTTCACTGTGATATGTTATGCATGCAGGCATTTTGTGCACAGATAATATCAATATTCACCAGATGCTCAGCAAAAGCAGTGGGGTCAAAAGCGGTGCCCTCAACAAACAGTTGGCTGGCTTTCTCCTTTCCCAGGTCTGTAGCCACAACAAGAAGCTGGGCATCCAGAGCCGCTTCCCTCGCCTGCCGAACTACAAGGAAAAACAGTGAACTCAAACTGACCAGACTACAGGTGGCTGATATGTTGTCCAAAAATAGTTATCTGAACAGCACTGAAGAGCTACGGCACAGACGAAATTAAACTAAACTAGGTTCAAGGGCATTATGCCAAGTACACAACGTTCATTATTGGTTTAGTCTCCGGTACTTATGGAAATAACCAAGATTTAGAAAATCACCTTTTAAGAATTTGCTCTGATTGAGATCTTTTATGCGTAGCACTATAGCTCACCATGAGACTACTGAATACACAACCCTGCAGCCCAAATTCAAAACTTCTGTGACTGTATCACACCTACCATCTTTAAACAGCTTGTTTGCCTGTTCTAAAACCTCTGTGAGTTTGTTGTTAGAAGGACTCAGCATATCTTCTCGATTCTCTAAAACATATAAAAGACAAAAAGGTCAGACATCAGAGACTTGTCAACAAACAACAACATCAGTTGCCAGCTCATCCCATCTCTTCATCTTACGTTGCACTGAGTTGATGAGGTCTCTGTACTTGCTCCGGATTTCTCTCCTGAGGCTCGGGTCACCCTCGTCGTCCTGCAGGTCAGCTGGGCCGAAGGCACCGTCTCCATCATCCCCGTCATTTTGCTGCTGCTCTCCTCTCCCTCGGCCTGCATAGCCATTCTGCCGGGGAGCCTCGTTGTCGCCACTGGTTCTGACTCTCTTCATGGCTACTTAGTGAGTGAATTGTGCCTTATAATAAGGAAACACGCTGACATTAACAGGTCAAACAACGTTGTAAACAACTGGTTTCTGTTAATGTTAAAGCTGATTATCTACCTTCTGAAAACAATTCTTGAAGACTAAATAGCCCATACAGATGATGTGATTCGGGATAAAGTTGTCCACTGTTTCTAATTTTACAGCGACAAACATTCGCCGGTTTACAAAGTTTAGCCAAGGACGTCGAAAAAGTCAAGATAATAATCCGCTACTCCATCGCATGTTCAAAGTCGGTCAAGCACAAAATGTCCCATGTATCAGGTAACGTAAAAGACGAATAGCGCAATGTGATTAGGATTATATCACATTAACGTAAACGACTGCTTAACGGTATTCATACTTGATGTGATTATGATTATACCACATTAACGTAAAACGACTGCTTAACGGTATTCATACTTAACGTTAGCGTTATCTCTAAAGCTAACGTAATATTAAAGCTAAGCGGAGCACTGCGAACAACATTCGATTGCAGCTAAATTATCTAAGCAAAACAGAAAACATTGCTCCGCTAACACCATAGAAACAAACTTCTGCCGGGTCACCAGCGCAAACACGGAAATTCTGAACAGTTTACAATCTCGTCTGAGCCAACGGTAGCCGATGCTAGCTAGCAAAATCAGTTGTGCTAGTAACTTGGTTGAACATTAAAACCATGAATCTATTAAAAACCTCAGACTCTCTGTCTTAGCCACCCTAAAGGTGAACGTATTATATGCTCTGCTTCTTAAGTGAATCTATGAGGTTTTTTTTTCCTTTCAACTTCAACAAGTTACCTGTGTAGCAAACAGATGCAGGACGCGCCGGAGCATTTCACTAATCTGGAAGACGAAGAAGTTAGCTTTGCATTGCTCTTTTCCTATTCAAAAGGAAACCAAAAGTGAAATGTAGAATTCTTCAACAACAATAATAAGTGTTGTTTTACTTTAATAAAAAAATCTGAATGCAATAAAAGTACAGAAGAGCAAGGAATAAAGAAAATAACTTTCAGTAAGATAACCACTGCATCCAGTCACAGAACGACTATCAGGTCAAAGTTCAAAGTGTTTATTTGTCATATGCACAGTTAGGAAACGTGTTTCCCTGTACAATGAAATTCTTACTTTGCCATCCACATGAATGCCACAAAATACAAATGAAATATAAAGTAGATAAATAAGTAACACAAAATGATGCAGCTGTAGAAGTTGCAAAGGATCCTAGGCGACATGCCAAACCTCCTCAGCCTCCCCAGGAAGTACAGCCGCTGTTGGGCCTTCTTGACCAGCTGTGTGGTGTTAAGTGTCCAGGTGAGGTCCTCATTGATGTGGACACCCAGGTATTTGAAGCTGCTCACCCTCTCCACTTCGATCCCCTGGATGAACAGTGGCCGATGAGGTCTCCTCTCCTTCATGCTCACTATCATCTCCTTCGTCTTGTTCGTGTTGAGCCTGAGATTATTGTCCTTGCACCATGACACCAGACCTGCCACCTCCTATCAACCAACCACTCACTCACTCACTCATGGTTTGTGGAACATAAAACAAAGGCACCCTTCGTGCTCAAGTTAAACACACTAAATATACCGGGAGCCACAAGGCCGCACTTACAGAGTTTCAAAGCTGTGAAAAACCACAGCTCTCTCCATTCATTGCTATTGGGGATTTCATTCACTGCAGAGGCTCTGACAAAACAACCCAATGCAGCAAAAGGTTTGATCTGCTTAAACTTTTGCAGCACCATATGGTGACATCATCCAGCAAAGGCACTGCGTTAAACACAGCAGACTACTCCTAGCCCTCTAACCTACTAAGCAGGTTTGAGCCTACTGCTTGATGCACTGTCAGATATTTAAAACAATTTATTTTATTTCAGAGAGTGAATAAATGACAGAGGAGAAGGATAAAGGTTGCAACAGTGGAAACAAAAACAATAAAAAATACAATATAATCATTGTTAATATAGGTCTATTACAATTGATAAGCTAAGCATTCAGTTATTCCACTGGATAGATTGTCATAAATAGCTTGTGTTAAAATTTACTGTGTGATGGTTATCACATACTACTACTGCTACTGTGTTTATCAGATTGACTACATAGGCAAGTCTGTCCATACATGTGAAAAGCTGCATGCTTGTAATAATTGTATTTACTATATTTATTTATTTATGGCAACCCTGTGAGGTTTCAAATTTATTATTATTACTAATATTATTAATTCTATATCTTGAAAATATTGGATGGCCGATCGTCTGACGAATGTGAAACCAACTTCAGGGCGATAGTGAAAACACGTTGACCGGTAGATGGCGCACTAGTAATTGTGTAGAAGTATCTGGGCGCGAGAGAGCCGCTCTTTGTTTTATTTTCTTTGTTTGTTGTCATAGTAACCAGAAGCGCCCCTGTGTCAGTGCAAGCCGTCTAGCACGAGCTGTTGCTGTTAAAAGGCTTATTTTTATGCTTCTTTACAATGGCACAATACAAGTGGTTAGTTTTGTTGTTAAACGTTTTATGTGTTTATTTTCTCTTGTATTAAAAGAAGGTAAAACATGTTTACTTGAACGTAGAGAGTACTGCAGCTTAAAATAATTGCATAACAGGTAAGTTGCACTTAACTTTAAAATAAAGCTTTAAAGCTTAAAAAATGTAAAACTGTTCCCTTTTGGTTTCTCTAAACTATTTGTCACTATGGCCTTTGATTTCCTGTTTATCAATACATTGCTTATTACATTTTAACTTATTAAACGTGTTCATTACGCTTTGTAATACGCTACATGTAGGCTTCATGTGGCAAAGTATAGCTAATGTATTAGGCTGCTTGATAAATTCTAAGTCATAGTTGGCTACTAGCAAAAATTTAGATTAACTATTACATTCTACTGTGCTATATTTTATTCAAAGATTTTTTTTTTAGATTTGTAAAGCTAAATAAATCTGTCTTTAAATATGACAAAGAAACATTTCCATCCTCGATTTTCCTATGTGTCATTTTACAGCTGAGCCTGAGACAGTGACAGGAGATTTAGGGCAGATTTCCTGGAAAGACGCAGTAGTAATCCCTTAATGACCTCTCGGAATGTGCAGGAGCACAGGGGACAAGAGCGAGTTTGAGTACTTAATTTTTGCATTCAGGTAATGTAACTGTTATTTTATCATGGGGGAGCTAAGGTCCACATCTTCTGTGCTTTGTTTGGACCTGAATAACCTTAACTCGGCCGAAGCAGAGAGGAGTCGATATGTTTTAACGAGCCCACGCTCACTGCATTCTTGTGCACGGCTCGGCATCAAACCTGTTCAACTTCTGGTTAAATCACTAAGCGAGCTGATTGCAGAACAGCGTGATGTGCCCTTTGAGACGGTGCAAGTTATACATGAGTCCTACAAAAGGGAGAGAACGAAGCTTTTACAAATGTGCCAAAAGGAGAGGGAGAGGATTATCCAGGCGGCTGGGGACAAGTGGCCAGACAGTGATAAAATCTCAGGCCTGGAAGAGGTGCCTGTAACCAAACTGAACAACCACTCAGTGGAGAGTCAGACAACAGGGTCTAACCCATATGCAGATCTCTGCCTTAAAGGGGAATCTGTGAGCAGGTCCTCATGTTCTGCTACTGGTAACAGAGATGCAGACAGGGGTACAGTCTGCAGCGACTTCAGACACTCCCCAAATACCCAGATGAAACTTGAGAGGCTCACCAAGGACATCAACAAAGAGATGTGTGTCACACTGTCAGAGAGAGACAGGAAGATAACAGCTCTCATGCTGGTGAAGCAGCAGGAGGAGCAGGCTTGCCTGAAGCTCTGTCAGCAGGAGGAACAGGAACGACAGGAGCCCCACAGGCATAAGGAGGCCCAGTGGGCTCAGTATGAGAAAAAGAGAAGGAAGAAGCTGAAGCAGAGTAAGCAATGCTGGCACGAGGAGCTGGAGGCTCACCAGAGGCTGAAGGAACATCAGCAGAAAGGGAAAGTGAGACAAGTCAAGCAGAAGGTGCTGCTGCAAGAAGACCACAGGAGGAGGGAGAAAGAAGAGGTGGAGGCACAACACAGAGAAAAGATAGAGGCTGCACAGAAAGAAGCAGAGAGACGCAAACACTACCAAGATAAGCTGCTGAGAGAGAAGAACGAGGTGGACAAAAGGAATCAAGAGAAGGAGAGGCAGGTAGCAGTAGACAGAGAGCAGAAGGCCAAGAGGAGCAAAGTGTTGCAGGATAAAAAGGAAAGGAAGAGGCTGCAGGAGCAAAATCACAGGGAAAAAAAAGCTGAAAAAGCAGGTAGATCAACAGATGGAGGAAGCAGAGGCACAGAAGAGGAGCACTCTCAAACAGAAGCTGCAACACTCCTGCAAGAAACATGCCCAGGCTGTAGACGCACAGTTAAGGGAGTTGCAGGGGCAGGCAGCCCAAGAGGAGGAGCAGATTCAGAGAGTCCAGCTGAGGGCTAAGCTGCAAAGCATCCAGCAGCTCGCAAGCAAACAGATCCTGGTCCAACTCAGCCAGCATCGCATGGAGAGAGCTGCCCTGTACGCTTCAGCCCGGCACAGGAACCGAGCTCAGCAGACACAGCAACACAACAAACACAGACAGATCTCCCACCAGAGGCTCAGAGAGAAGCTGCAGAGAGAGGAGGAGGCAATGAGGAAGGTCAGAGAAAGCTACATCTCTATGAAGGACTGGAGGAGGGAGAGACTGCGGCAACAACAAGAGCAGATACAGGAAGAGGCACAGAGGCTGGCTCGGGCCTCCTTTCACATGAGAGAGAGAGTGAGAGAGCAGACACACAGTCGGACCTTTGATCAGATGGCTCTGGAAGCTCAGCTGACTGCCACCATGAGCAGCATGAAACTATGAAAGAAATGACTTCTGACATCAGAAAGACTCTTCACATGAGCGCTTCCTCTCAGACATAAATGCAATGCTTGCATCAGCTGATGTGCTCATCCAGAGCTGCTTAGACGAGGACTTGCAGTTAAAATAAGTGACAGTTCTAAAAACAATACAGAAAAACATAGCTCATATCAGCAATTTAAAAATGTAGAGGATATGCCACACAAGTATGTGAACACGTTATAACCAGCTGCTGCTGGAGGGGGAAGCCAGGACTAAAATACACAGGGCTAAACGTTTCTAGCCAAAAGGGGCCTATGTAGATTAACAGATGTCATTTTTTCTGGGTGTAATGACTCACAAAGTTACAGTCGTATTGGATAGAACTGCATAGTTTGAGTCCATAGGATTGTGCCATATATTTTCCATTTTCTAAGTTAAAAGGTTTTAACTTTATAAAAGTTTGTAATGAAACTGTAGAGCCCTGCCTGACCTTAAGGTGATCTCCCATCAGGGTAACAAACACTGTGCAGTGCTTTACAACAGTGGTTTCTAACAATTTTTGGAATGTGACCTCATAAAATTAAGCAACATCTTGTTGTGACCCCTCATGTCAGGTTGCATTTGTCTAAGAGCTGTAAACAGTTTAACACATGCATTGAATCAAGCTGTTTGTACTGCATGAGCCAACATGACACAATATAGCATAACAGCCCTGTGCTGCTGGTGAGATAGGGATTAGATGAGTGACCAAGAGGAAGTCAGGGGGCAGGAGAAAAGATACCTTCTGCCTCCCTGAATGGAGGGAGAGAGGTCACGAAGGCTACACGGAGGAGGATGAAAGGGAACAAGACAGGGAGCAGAAGACCCTAGATGATTGAGGTGTTTTATAAGTTTATAGTACTTAATTGTGTTTTATTAATAAATCATATTTTAAAGTGTAACCTGTCATAATTCTGATATTTTGTTTCTATATCTGTATTTAACTTTGGCATGGATTTGCTTAGCACATCTACCTATGTCCAGCTGTAAGACAGGTGCAGCATGATGCATTAAACATAAATTAGCATTAGTTTACCTCTGCAATCAAAAACATGTTCAGTGGGGAAAAGTATAGAGTAAAACAATAAGCAATTGAACAGGGCATCAGAACACGAGCAGACACGGTTCTGTTTACCATGTCTGTACACTAAAGAATCACCTGAGAGAAAAGCAGGAGGCATCATTGATAAATAGAGAAGCTGAATTCTTAAATATAAATTCAATGAAGTAGCTGTGATTAGAAGAACCCACTTGGTAACTGCAGATTTTTACAGCACCTGCTGTAGCCACCCCACAAAAACTTCACATCCTGTGCATTGGTAAATTGTACTATTCTGTGTTTAATGACATGACAAAAATTCACAACCTAGATCTCTAATTGTCTGGGTAGTAGACAGCATGAAATGATTTGTTTGTTCCTATAAATCTGTATCAAGTTACTGGGATTTCACCACTGAACTTGGCTTGTCCCCTCAGAGAGCCTTGGCAACAAACTGTGTCCTTTTTGCTTTCTTGGAATGAAACTCAGTCTCCTAAGGGGCAACATATTAGTTATCAAATTTTTTATACCCACTGGAAAGTTCTTGATACATAAACAATAGCTCAAAGGAACTTTTCACCGATATCAAAACACAGCAAGGCACATTTTATCTGCCCCATCATTGACGTTACACTGTTCAGTACTTTAGACAGGTGCTCAGCTTTCTTTTCAGGTGTGGCAGCAGAGCACTGTGCTTTGCAATTAACTTAAAACCCCTGACATTCCTTCCTCAGTCGTCACTGAGCCAAAGAGCCAGCACCATTGGGAGCCCGACCCCCAGGATGAGAGTGGCGCTCTCCAGAAACCCCAGGTAGTGTAGCTGGTGGGTCTCTGCTCCAGTGTGCTGCTGGAGGTCTGAGGAGGGTTGGCCTGTCCTGCTGCTGCTGATCTCTGGAAGAACATGCACTGTGGCTACATAGAGGAAAGTCCCGGCTGAGAGGAGCATCCCCACACCTGTTGCACTAAGCTGATTGTGAGATGAACTGCCAGACTGCGCGCGCACACACACACACACACACACACACACACCAGATCAAATAATACAGAATTGAAGTGGTATAATCACTGACATCATCTTATATTTGACAGACCCTAAATGGTAGTCTGTGATTTCTTACTGAATGGATGATGAAGTAAGAGGCGATAGCTACTATAGGTGATGCAGCTGAAAAAGCCAGTAAATGTTCCTGAATGTTCTTCTTTTCAAGGCCTGCGTGCATCAGAAAGGAGACCAAGCCAAAAGCAGCAGGTGCCTGTAGGAGATGAGTAAGATCGTCAGGACTTTTTATCAGCACTATTACATCTCATTCGTGATCAGCACTGTTGTGTATTTGATTGAAACGTCCTTTCGGGGAGCCTCACCTTGTGTAGAATAACTGCTAAAAAGACTATGACTTGCACTGTCACTTGACCCGAGGCCACAGCGGCACCCAGAGCAAATCCATCAGCTATGTATATGCAAAGAAAAATCTTGTTAATGGTGGCACTGTCTACTTGTTCAACTGATGTTTGTGCTTCAGCGGATTGCATATCACATCAAACTGATGGAAGAGTCTTGTTTGTGTCCATTTTTGCCACACTGCATGGCAAATTTCCCACCTGGGATAATACATCTGAAGTTAGTCTGAACCGAGCTGAAGCCCCCAGGTTATGCTAAGGAGTCAGCAAAATGAAGTAATTTGAAACACAAAAATGAACCAATGAAATAATCACGAGGACATTAATAACTCCAGCGCTTTGTTGGGAACTTTCCATGTGTGTGGTCTGAAATTCTTTGAAACATATAGTGTAAACTGGGCAAACACAAGTAAACAGAAATGTATGGTAAATGTTTTGTTGCGTATGTACCTGCAGCGTGAATAACCAGCCCCAGAGTTGCTGTGATGCCGACTCTATTAGACAAACAAGTTGCTTGATCTGAAACGAGACATTGAAGATGTTGCGGTCACAAATGTTTGTAAAGTAGACAATCTACATAACGCAGCCGAGGGTTCTCTCAACTTGCCCCGCATGGAAAGGTAGCTTCCGATCTGATCCACTACAAACATGAAGATGAACCCAAGAGTTAAAGCCACCCCGATGAAAAAGCGAGGTGGTGAAGGACCTCTCTCTGTCAACGTATTTGTCTCGCTGGCATTCAGACCAGATGGTGCATCAGAGGAGCAGGAGGACACTGCAGAGAGAAGATGAAGGCCAGGATATGCTTTTGATCAAATCCACATAAAAGACACTGAGGCACAGATGCACACATCACATTTAGATTACTGAGCTGCTTTTATCCCCATGTGCTTCATCATTCTTTTCAGATAGCTACAAACACCGGTGTACATTTCGTGGGTACACCTGTGGTACACACTTGCCTACTGATCAGACTTTCTGATCAGTAGGCAAGACACTCAGGATGCATACAGAGCTACATGAGTATGACCCCAGTTCATTTTCATGTTGCCATTTGGGCATGGGTAAGACACCCTGCTCACCTCTCCATGACTCTTCCAGTAAGCCCACTCCCTCTGGGATGGTGATGGCCAGTGCTGTCCCGCACAGGAGTCCTGCCCCCAGGATGGAGACGAAGCGAAGGCTTCGCTAGAAATCAACACGTTTTCAGTGGATCAGCGGGTCTCATCTGACAGACAACACAGCTGGAGATTTCTCAGATATTCATAATAAGCAATAGTCCTGCGAGCTGGCTCAGTACTGTAATAGTACTGTATACAGAAACAAAGATGTCCAAGTCACGGAGGGAAAGATAAAACACCGCAGATTAAAATTAAGTTTGATGCCATTACTCAACTATTTTGCCTCGTGACTGAATAATCTAATGAGTGTTCGCCCATTTCATGGAGGACATCAAAATAAGAAAAAACTCAAACTTACCTCAGAAAGTGTGAACAACAGTGGAATGAATCCAAGTAAAAAACAACCGACAAACATCGCAACCGATAATAAAGTAACAGCCAGGCCCCCGTCCATGACGACTTTGTCTGACACACGCGGTGAAGTGAGTCGAGTTGCCAGTAGCTTGTGCTAGATTTTAGAGTTCGGTGTTAGTGAAAGCTCAGCGTCTTGTTCTCACGGTGTCGCTGTGTTTCATTAACAGCTGCCATTCTGCTCTTCCACGTCCGCGCCTCTGTCTCCCTGCGCTGTTGCACGCAACAGGATTTCCCTCCTCAGCAGCTGGAGCAGCGGCGCCTGCTGTCGGGCTCTGAGAACTGCCCCACCCCTCGGGTTAGCCCTCGGCCCTCCCATCATCTGCCTCCATTGTCTTTCCCCCCTAAAACACACGGCCTACGCCAGCCACCAGAAGTGTTACCTCTGCCATCACTCATCCATGCAGTTTAATTTAAGTCAGTGGGTAACAACATCTGGTTCGGCCCCCAAAAAGAGGCCTCTGGTCACATAAAACCGAGTAGTTGCAAGATGGTTAACAGGACAAAAACAATTCTACTACAGCATTCCCCCCCCTCAAGCTTCGTGTTTCTTTTAGCGAATTATTCCACCTCTTCATGATTCATAAACAAGATTGCGGAAAGGTGTTTACAATCAAGAGACATACCAACCAGATTAGAGGGGTCATAAGTGGGCAATTTGTGTGCCAAATTAATTCTCCATGCTATCATCAGGGAGGGAGTGGCCTGAGTTTGAATTGCGCTTACACTATAGATCATAATTGACACTTGAAGGTTTGCTCAAAGTAAATACGGCTGGTTTTTGACTCTTGTAACATAATGCACTCCACAAAAGGAAGTTAATATGCTGCTGAAACAGGAAAAATAAACAAATTGTGAATGAGTCTGAAACTAGAAAATGTTATAGCTGATGTCCCTGTGTGAAGTTTGATTGGCAGAGACAAGTCACAGTTTGAATAGACAATACTGTACGTTTATTGTACAGATAGCCCTTTGGGAAGAATGATAAAGAGTGTAATACTGAGACTTGCTATTTTTACTCTTCCAGCTTAGAAAAAAAGTAAAACAATACAAAGGTACCACACACAGACACACATAAACAAACAACTCTGATTGTGTAGTTTTGAGACGAAGACATTTTACTACCCATTCTGAATACAATGCAGAAACAGGCTGAGAACTTCTGTTTGTTTATAAAAACTATCCACTCATTTCCATTGAGTCCGGCTATCTACTGTATGCAGATTTTATGAAGACAGTCTAAAATAAAATAATTCATCATCATGTGACTCTTAGACTTGGAATTAGCAAAAGGCTTCTGGGACTCATTGCAACCATCAGACTGTCAAATGTGGGTGTGAACTCAGAAATGACAGATCTAGACACTGCCAAGTGTTGTTACAGTGTAAAACTTTCCATTTCCAGTTAGCTAGTGAACCATCCTTCTGATGCTGTTTAAATACAGCAATCACACTATTAATTTACCCACTTTTATCTCACCAAGAGTTGTGGGGATAACCTACATTCAGCATTTAAGAACAGAAGTGGTTAGAAAAGATGAGAAATTTATGCATCTCCCTCAGAGCTGGGCAGTATAGCTTGTGTTATTTGGACAGGACACATTCAGATATTTCAAGACATCTCAGAGGTATAAAATGAAGTATAAAAAATAAAATCACCTCATCATGAAGAGAAGGGCACCAGACTCAGTGGTGTCAAACAATTATCTTGTTAGTACCATAATAATATGTGGTGCTAAAAAAAAAGAAAGAAAAAAAAACATGGAGAAATTATGAAAACACTTTAGGTTCACCACTGTTGTCATCACTGCCACAGGAGGCGTACCTTCTTTGTCAATCATATAAGTGAAAGTGAGATTAGTGCACATGTGCCACAGTGGCTCGCTGAGCAACTGGATAATAAACCACTTTCTTTTATGGTTCAATAACAACTGGCCCACAGTGACAGAATGTAGTATCTGTCTGCAGCACTTTGCCTTGCATTACTAACAATTTTTATTAATTTTTTTATATATATTTGATGGGGCAGCTCAGTGTTGTCTTGACTTAGGAAGAAACAAGAAGCTTGATCAATCCTGGCTGTAACTGTGTGGGTACTGCATCTGAAATTTTGTAGTGTTCATTTTGTTAAGGTGCATCTTTTAGTCTGATACAAGAAAAGCTGCTTCATGTGGCTGAGGCAGAACAGGAATATGTTGATTATGAAACATGCAGATTATATTAGGTGTGGAGCTGTAGTTCATATTACTATTGCTCCGATGGAGGCCTGATGAGGCTCAGAACTGGATCTGCAAAGGGAATGTACAGCTTTGGGGGATTACAACTCAGTAAGCATCATAATAGTCTGAATATAACTATGATGAATTGTAAATTTATTTATAGATTTATAAATTGTCTGGGCCTCATCCACTGGTGTAACTGCTGAATGCTCTTGTGCATTCTAGCCCAAGATTTAATATCTTATCACTAAAATTTCGCTTTTTGAGTAAGACAATCCACAAGTCAGCACTGAGTACAAGCAAATGGGGAACTAACAATGCTCTGACCACCGGAATATACAATATGCTACGTAGCTGATGTGGTGTCTACATAAAAGTTAACACTGAAGAAGACCTGACAGAGGGCTGAGTTATAGATACCTCATTGGTAAAATTATCAGTAGCCATCTACACTGAATTTCAAAATCTCTACATAAAGATGTAAACATATGGGCAAAAAGATACAAGTTAAAACAAAAGATGAAGAGAACTAGTCACAAAAGGTATCATCTGAAACTGACCCAGAAACACCCAAAAAAGGTCTTTCCTTCCATTCTCTGAGCAACACAAAAGGATCAACAGGCTTTTGGGCCTCAGTCCTCCTACAGCAGTTGTGCCAGTATTGTCCCGAGGCAGCATCAGTAGCAGCAGTCCAACAGCAGTCCCAGCAAAGGCTCAGAGATGGAATGCCAAAAAGATCATTATCAGTGTAGTGTTGCCAAGGTATGAATTAATCTTCTCCCCCAATAAAGAGATGTATCATGTTTGATAGCATTTAAAACTCAGTGCCAACAAATATATGTCAAAAAAGAAAGCCTATTTTACAAATCCAGAGTTTTGTAGCTGTACAGTGTCAAACCATCCAGGAGTGTTACTACCAATGATTTTTCTTTTTTTTTTTTGGTTTTAAAGCTTTCATAGAATTGGAAGAACTATTTTGAGGGTATCATATCTGCCCACAACAAGCGATTGCTTTCCTTTTACATAAGCTGCTTATTTAGGGGGTGCATGTAATATACACAATTAGCAATACTGGCAAAAGATTATGGGAAAATCTGTCCATCCTTTGAAATTGAAGGCATGCTGTGCTACAGTACCTTGGTGAAACTTGAGCTTATAGGACAAGTCCTCTCTTTGAAGTGTAATAGTGTTAAGGAAACAGACAGAAAATGACTCCCCTTACAAGACAAGGCAAAACATTCTTGTGTGCATTAGTGTCTTTCTGAAAAGGGTCCATGTGCAGTGTTAATGGTGCACCTCAGCTACTTCAGGGCAGAAGGATGTTGCTGCCCTTGCATTGTCAGAGTAGATTTCCTTATGCAGGTACACTGAAGATGTAGCTGGGTGAGACCCAGTCAAGGAAATTCAAGAGACCTTGAGTGACAATCCATTTAAATCCTTAGTAGACAGTGTGCTTATGTTAGTATAGTCCCTCGATGGAGGCTGAGATGCTTTGGAGAACTGTTGGTTCAGTTCCTAGTTTAATTTCTATATCCAGTGCACCCCTCGTGTTTAACTTAGGGAGCTGTTTTCTGTTCCGGGCAGGGTCAGTGTCGCACTTCATTATCAATGAGCCTGTCCTCACCTGACTGGAAGTCCTCGTTCAGGCTATTTTCAACATTGATTATTTCCTCGTCTTGCAAGGACCCCTGGCCATCGTCCTCACCACTGCCCGAACCAGCTTCCTCTGAATTTGCGTCTTGAAGTACCTGAGCAATGTACATTTGCTGCAGGGAAGGAATTGAAAAAGAATGTTAAAGTCCAGATGCTAGTTTATGATTCAGATCAAGTTCTCCTTACAATAAGGTTGTTTCTAGGGTTCAAACATGTCCTGCGCTATTGTAGTTTGTTGTCCAGCTACCGAGAGTAAGCTGGGCATCAAACTGGGTGCTGCTGATCACTGCTTTCAATATAATGTTATACAAGATGCTGATAACATTCTCTGTTTGTACAATGGAAACACTAATGAGATGTAAATGAATTCTAGATCTGATCTAAACATACGTTATGCAGTACATGTGATTTTTAATTTAAAAAACAAAACAAAACATTAACACACATACGATCACACACAGCCGACTGATCTCTTTATGAACCTGACAGCTACACTTAAAAGAGCAGATAGGGGCCTTCAATGAACACTGAAGAATAGTTTGCCTGAGAGCCAGTTTGTCAAGCTAAAATGAAAATGTACAAATAATTAGATTTTAGATCTAAATAACAGCAAACCAAAAGCATAAATCTCTTTGCTACATCCTTATTTTTATTTTCTAATCTTTATTATTACTAGTCTGTATTAGGAGCAGGGGAAAAAAAGATTTACATTAGAACTGCGATTCTTCTATGATTCTAAATCAATTCACAAATGCAAAAAAATCTATTTTTGTCACATTGTTGACGGAATGAAAAAGGTGGAACCTAACCGCAAAGCCAGTGATGCACATGGACAGCAGCCAGAGTGTAACCTGTCTTTCTTTTATTCAGCTTTAAATGTATGTTCAGCCTCTACATTTACATGCTGACACACACACATTGATACTAAATAAACATGACTGAATACATACCGCTGCTTTATTGACGGCAGAAGGGCTGAATGGACGGCCATTCTCCGTGCCATCCACATCCTGGGTGTCAATCTGGGACAGAAAATACATTTACCATAAGCAGCTGAATTTAACACTGCACTGAAATATTGGCATGGAGAGTTAGACTTAGGTAATATGCAAAAAAAAGTAATTAACTATCTTGTTACCTTGTAGTTGTGAGCACTGAGATACTTAAAATGTCCGAAGCAGACATGAGAGAGGCAGATAATGATTGTGATGATCAAAACTACGAACGTGAACACGGATGTTGCAGCTGAATACCCTGGGGCAAGAAAGAGGAGGGACATTTGTTTATCACGATTAAGACCAAAGTGGCAGATGGACTGCAAGTAAATTTGGGAATGTGTTAGGACATTAGCGGCTTATAGGTGGAGCCCACTTTTTACCCGAGCGAACAGTGGAGAAGAACAGAAGCCAGAAGAGACAGAGAATAGGAGCAGCCACTACTTGGTTGACAGCTCCAGAATGGATCTTCTTGTCCAGTTTGGATGGCAGATAGGCATAGTACATGTTGTACCTGTCTGCTAGGTGTTTCAGTAGCATGTACATCAGCCCTGCAGAGAAGGGAGACAAGACCATTGGTGTAACTAATCAAATTATGCTTGATGATAAGCATCTGTATAAAGAACAGAACCGCTGTATGTTTTTCCATCATTTCATCAGCATGATATCTTGATGTGAAAGAGCAGTAACCCAGCGGGGGTAATAAACAGCAGAGCTCACCAAATGGGACGATGATTGGACAGGTGATGCTGTAGGTCATGACCACAGTGAAGACACACATCATCCAGGCATATGCTGCCCCAAACTGGAACTCATAAGCTTGATGCTATGAAGACATAATGACATCCATTTTCATACTGATATAAAGTGTATTCTTTCTCTGATTACTTGTTTACCTACAAAAAGTAAAAGTCAAAAATATTGTCAAAGACTTGCCACATGTCAGTACCCAAAGTGTTATCTTCAAAAAGCTTTTTTAAATTTATTTATTTTATATAGTCACATGCAGACTGGGTGGCCACATTATGCAGATTGTGTTATTTGATACCAAATAGCACACACTGGACACATAGCACAGATTTAAGACTAGTCAAGGCACAGTGGCAGTGGAGAGTTGCACCACCAGGAGGCAGAGAAGAGAAGCAAATTTTCATATCTGAGATGTGACAGCTGGAAAATACTTAGCATTTTGAGTTAATCAATTACTTAAACCATTAATCAAGCATAAAAATAACATACTTACTAGTCAGTTATTATCACATCATCATTAAATCACTTCAAGTGCTATTCCACCCGACCAAGATATACTTAAAGGCATAAAAATCTTTCCAACTGAAAATTATAGCAGATATAACCATACCCCTTGTCGCATGGCATTAAACACTTGTTCTTCTTTTCACACTTAATACTTCACTTGTTCATGTGCACATAATATCCTGTCCACTGGCTACTCAAACAATTTATTCCCCATTCAGTTTCATAACAGATGCTTATGTAAGACATCAATTACAGTATACCCAGTTCAATGAATTCAATTTGCCACAGGTGGACCCCAGTCAAGTTCTAGACACACCACAACACCACAACCACAGTTTGGAGTACCACAGCAAAGGGTCTAAAGATTTTTTTTAAACAATACACTTTCATTTTTTATTTTTAGTAAGGCTGCAAAAAATTCTAAAAACATGTTTTACTTTGTCATCAACCATGGATTGATGTGCAAAAATTATATTTTAAACTAAATATACAATAAACCTACAACAAAGCATGCAAGAATTGGAGGGCCTGGATAGTTTCTGAAGCTAATGTAATTCATAAATAATTTCATCTTAGTAAGTGGGGGGGGGACTAACCCGCTTGACGTTCTTCCGCTCAGCTGCAGAGCGAGCCAGGCAGAGTCGGATCATGTACATGAGTAGACCAGGGATCCTCAGTAGATCCATGGCATTACCAATGAATGCAGATGCAATGACGTAGTTCACAAAGAAGGCGCCATTGTCAGGAAGGAAAACACACCTGAGGAGCAAAGACAAAGGTGAAAATGATTTACTACAGAAGCAAACCTAGTTGGTGTGTATATCTTTACAGAACAAAACATTTCATCTTGTCCAGCATTGCTCTGAGTGCTAGAGTTGCACTGAAATGCCCACAAAATTATGCTACTTACTCAAATCTCACTTTAACATCGTCCAAAAACCTTTTGTCAAAAAGCCAGCGGAAGAAAACGTCCAAACTGCAGAGGTATAAGATAAAAATCAAATCTGCTAAAATATTTAGGCTTCCAAAATGAATTAATGCATAGCTTAATATTTCATTGATGGCATGGTGGAAACCAAAACATGTTATACCTGCTGAGTCCTAAGGAAGGCAGCAGCAGGACCATGAAGATTAAGAAGGTGTAGCATTTGTGCATTGTGGTCCTGTTCTCTCCTGACCTGTGCAGCCAAAAGAGATATTTACACATATTTAAAACTAGCAAAACACAAAAACAATCTAAACCTCAAATGGGAATAAGGACAACATGACTCTGAATATCCTGAACTACTGACTGCAAACAGTGTAAACCATACCGGGTCCAGTGGGCTTCAAAGAAGGCAGAGTAGTAGACAATGGTAGGAAGTAAGGCGGAGAAGGACCACAGCAGAAGGGTGGGGAAGAACTGGGTGATGATTGGACTCTGGAGGACAGATCAGAAAAATGGGGACATGTTTCAAGAAACTGAGTGGTGAATTCCTGTGCCTCTGCAACAGCATTCAGACTTGAGACAGCTGAACATAAACAAGTTATTTTTCTTCTCCTTCAGTCTCTCATTTAATGTCTACTCAGCAAGGTGAACTGACCACAAATAAGTCCTAAATGAAATCAAACAGAGGGCAGCTTAAACAGTTTGAATGCTCACATTTAGGTTATCCACTGGTCTGGTAACATTGAACTTGTCCATGGTGGTGATGATGATGGCCGGGGTGGTGAGGAAGAAGAGGAGGAGGAAGAGGACACAGTTGATGATAAAGCAGCGCAGCCACCAGGAGAATCCTCCCACTGACAGATGCTCCCTGTGGAATAAAGTTTATGTCGCAGTTAGCTTGATGCTGAATGGCGACCTGCAGTTGTGGACACAGCTGGTCAGTAAACAGATACTGCTGCTCTAAAACTGATTTATCATCTGGTGTGAGAAAGTCCCTTGAAAGTGAACTGCTAACTATTTCTCGGTGTGATATTAACAGAACATATGTTCTTACCAGTAGACATTTTGTGGATCAGGGGCGTAGCTGACAGTCCAGTAGTGTGTGTGAAGCTTGTTGCTGAACTGAGAGCTCTTGGGCTCTCGGCGACAGTTGCAGCCCTGACACTTGCAAGCATTAAAGTCCTTCAAAATTCTGGGGGCAAACATCCACCCAGACGAATAACAGATATTAAAGTGGGTCAAGAGCCATGTAATATGTCAACTCAAATTCACAAATACACAGTCACTTATTTTACCACATGTATATGTACTTACATGGCAGTCATGGACTCATTCTGGAAGGTGACAAAGGCCATTCCTAAGGGTTTCTTGTTGACCCTCTCTCTCTCCTTATTGTAGTCATCTTTCAATTGTGCTTCCAGTTTGGTGTAGTAGCTCACTGCCTCTTCCTGTGAAGAACAGAACTTTTATTTTTTAATACAACTCTGAGCCAAATAGTCATTACCTTAATTTACAGTAATAGCATCAGTCCATACACAGGGTTAAATACACTGACCGGCCACTTTATTAGGTACACCTGTACATTCATATGCAATTCAATGCAGTACTTCCACCTTAACATTTGGGTTTATGAAGCTGAAAATATTTCAGTTTTGGGTGAAATTGTCATAAATGTATAAATTCAATTATATGTTCATTATTGAGGTCATAATTAAAGGTGGTGTTGTACTGGACCACATTATATTTAGAGGTGTCTATATTTTTGTCCTCCCCAGGTACATACATGAAAGGGTTGGAATATTAGGAACACCTCTGAATTTAACCAAACTATAATTTGTGTTTGGTAACAATTTAAGATATTACAACCACTGAACACAGAAACCAACACTACCGTCAGTACATTTTACATCTGTAATACTGGAAACCTTCTGGAATTACTTACCAACTGTCTAGCAATTAAATAATACGAGCAAATATCAGTTTCATTGGTTGGCACACAATATCAAAGCATGAATACAATGAATAGAAAACCACAAGTTAGATACTGTGACATAGCAACAGGCTAAACCTGTAATTATAGGCTCTACATTGTTTGTTTTTCCCTGCTTGGCTATGCTTCTCCACATGACAAGCATCAGAGCAGTTTTCCCTCATCTTCCCCTCAAAAATGCTGTTTAGTATCAGCTGGTAAGACGATTTACGAGCGAGTCATTTTTGAAATAAAACATTTCAGTCTGACCTGCTCACAGCCTTTGATGATGCAACAGCAAAGGTGCCCACAAGGCTTTGGGTTGATCATGGTGCTAACATGCCCTCTGGCCTGAAAGTCCATGAAGAACTTCTTGCTGCGCTCTGCCTTTTTCCTGTATACAACACATCAGCTGTGTCAGACTGAAAAAGGATTATTTTACTAAAACAAGACCAGGTCCTGGAGACAATGAAACACTTCCTGATATGTTCCAAAATATTATGAAATGGCAAATATACACACACATCAGGTGTATATAGTTAAAAACACTTTTACCTTTCAGAGTTAAGATACATCAGCTTGGCCACATTGTAACAGATACGAGCTTCCAGCACAACACAGTTTTCATATGCAAGCCTATAAAAGAAGATCAGGGAGTCAGAAAGTATAAGATGGTATGCACTTTATAAAGCAGAGGAAAAGCAAAGATTAGATTTTGGTTAACACTATTTTGTTGAGTCAAACACCCCCTACTCAGTCCTGACACAAGACTGGTATAATCCTGCTTATCTGGTTTCTATTATGGACACCCACATACAGTATATAGATGTCATTGTTTGATCCCCACCATAGGCACCAGGACAAGACAGCTGCTTTTAAAAAGAAAAAGCATGGTTCTCATACTCCTTGATACAGTTCTGGCACAAGCTTACTGCCACGACATAATATTATTTTCATTTAAGCACTGAGCTAGGACATTGGTGAGAAGGATCCTGAGGAGTGCTTACTCAAAGTGTTGCTTTATCTCATTTTCCTCTGCGTATTTAGAGATTCCATTCACAAATAAAGTGCGTTTTACCTGCATGGAAATGAGAATAGAAATGCCATTACCAAAAACATTCAGACCTGTGTGTGAAAAGAGTGTGGATAAAATTATCACTGTCTGAAAGCCACCCACTAGATCATCCTCCTTATAGTGCATCCTGGAGGTGTGCCGTCTCATGCTATACACCGTCAGTAACAGGTAGAAAAATGCAAAGGTGGTGTGCAGCCACAGTAGTGTATTACTGGGGAAATAAATGATTAAAAGGATTTAATGGCAGCATTGGAAAGACTCAAGATAAAGCGTCAAAGTACAGTATATGCTAAACAAAGTGAAGGCATAAGTATACTCACTCGGCATCCAAATTTGCTATAGTGGTTCGACCAAAACTATAGGCATTGTTTTCTGAAAAAATAAAAGCACCAACAAGCATCAATGATTAGGTGACTGTTAGTGTAGCCGATAAATAACCCTAACACTGAGCATAAATGACTGAATTAGGGCTGCAAAAACTAATCAAAATCTATGATAAATATAGTTGGCAACAAATTTAATTATCAATTAGTTGAGTCTAGTCATGCAGCTGTGTGAGACAGCTGAGTCAGCGACTGGGTGACTACATCAGTGAGGCATATCAAAACATCTGAGAAACAGTGGGATAGTATTGAGCATGGTTACAGCAGAGCAAAGCAAAGGACCAGCTATTGTGCACTTTGTAAAAAACTCTATTCTTTAACAAAGAATATATTTTTTGTTTAATAATGCACAGCATCTGATTAATATTTAAAAAAATATTTTTACAGTTAATAATTAAAATAATTGTTAGTTGCAGCCCCAGACTAAATAAATCTAGTATCAAAATCCAAGCGCAATTCTTAAGAAAAAAAAAATCATCAAAAAGAAATAACACATACCAGAAAAACCAAACATACTGGTGAGAAGGTAGCATTAAAAAAAAAAAAGTATTATTCTCTAAATTTCCAAGAATCTTCTGGCATTAAATTCAAATCAACTCACCAAGTAGGTTTCCCGAGAAATTAACAGGCAAGATTATGCCCACAGAGAGCACTCCCACCACTACCAGCAGTCCAATGATGTGGCGCTGAAAGGACAAGTAATGCACTGCATCCTCACCACATTTCTCCCTGACCTCTTCATCCCTACAGAGACAACACATCGACAAAGTCAACTACCTAAAAGCAATTCAAAACAGAGACCAATCCAATCCAATTTAATCAGCATCACTGTCTTATCTCCAATAGGCTGACTCACTTGATGCGGAAGATGGCGGTTAGCCAGGAGCAGAAACCCTAAGAAAGCAGACAGCAAAGAACTGGTATTTTACCAGCTTTCACATAAAACACACAGTATGTTCTGCATTAAAGGACAACATAATTTATCCTGTAAGAATAATTGGCAGACTTACCGTGTCTCTCTGATCCATGTCCACAGAGCTAGAAACTGAGGTGAGGCGTTCATAGTGTGCGGGTGTCTCAGGTGTCATGCCAGAGGATATACTGTATGCACAGAGCACAGAACACAGTATTTGCACGCTATTTATACAACAACCATAAGGGCATGGTAGCACACTGTGTGTCGGGAAAGTGGCAATACCATCAAGTATAGGAAAGTTGACCACACAAAACCCACACACCCTGAAATGGACTGAAGAGACTCACCCCTCTTTACCCTGTGTGGGCTGAACCCACAATTTGGGCTGGGAAACCTGTCAACAACAGGAGCAGTCTCTACAGCCACATTTCACAAAATGTTAAGAGGACAGAGCCTACTTTACACAAGTTGAGTACACCATCGTTAGAGGAAAGTTAGAAGGAAAACAGCTTTAAAAATGCCCTTTACTAAATAATAAATCTGTGTTTCTTTTTTTATTAACTTAAGGTGCTCCTGCTGTCCTTCTTTATTAAAACAAAGTAGGCAAGCCTAAACATGCACAAAAACCTGGCATGACTAGTCATAGAACTGAATGACTAAACTGTTTAACTACAAAACCAAAAATATAATGCAGCAGTCCTTCTATAAAATACTTTTCCAACAGCTGGAGCTTCTGGAAAAAAAAAATTATTCTCACAGTGGAACATCAGTGATTTTGTACTCTCTAGGCAGGTTTTACTTTTCCTGGTGGTTGTGTTGACCTGTGTTTGGGTTCTGTACTACTCGACCAGTTGAACCACTGGGGGCAGTAGAGAGCAAACTGCTGTTGGCACAGCAGAACAGGGAGAAGATGCAAAATACACTCAGAAAACAGTCATACTAGTAAAATAACCTTGCATAAAAAACTGGTAGATACCATCAACTATTCAACAGCATTACTGAGGTTTTTTTCCTCATAATATCACAAAATTACAAATATCGTTACAATCCTACTATATACTAATTTGATTGCTCTCCCCAGGGTGGTCATATCGGTTTAATATACAGTATATAAGAACTGGAAAATATGGAAACTCGGACTCTACTGGTCTTTGTTGATACTGTAATGGTGATGATCAGATCACATTTCATGACCAATTTATGCAGAAAACCAAGAAAATGCAAACAGTCCCATTACTTTTTTCTTGCGACTGTAAGAGTGAACCATGTTAGAGCCTGTCTATGAACAAACACGGATGGAGGAAGCTTTCCCTCTACCTGCAAGTATCCTGTGTGCGTCACTCATGCAGTGACTCACATAGAAGTCTGTGCTTCATAAAGAGGTCAATACGCAGATGAGCACACACAGATCTGATTAGGACTGTGAGAGAGAGGACAGGAACATCCCACAGCAGAAATACAAGAGTGACAAGGAGAGGGAGAATAATTACAAGCATAGCTCTTGGTAATGCCTGGAGGAAAAAAGAAAAACTAAACTTCAAGAGTGAAAAACAGGCAGAAACCCACAGCACCTGGGTAGAATGGAAAAGAGTTATGAGTTTGGTTAACTACAGAGAAGGGAAAGAAGAGAAGACAAAAAGCAGTGAGACTGTGAAACAGAAAGAAAACATACTATTCCTGATCATCCAGGCGACTGTACCACTGATCCATTCTTCTGCTAAAAAAAAGAAACAAAGCCATTCAGCTTAGTTTAGTGGAAATGGCCCTGCTGACCAGTAAGGATGCTGGTTCAGTGAAAATCTGAGGAAGCATATTACACCACAGGCATACCAATGAAGGTTTCCCTTCATTCTGGTACATTATTTAGCCACATAAATGCACGTTTGTCTTATGGAATAACAATCCTTTCATTCATTTGAGTTGAGAGTCGTGGCTTATGTAATTAGAACAACAGATACATCAAATGTATACTTCATTTCTATAACTAGCAAGCGTCAGAGCAAGTTAACATTTCACTTTTCAGAATTGACAAGAACAGAGACAGACAATGATCTCAAGGCAGCACAGCTGAAAATCACAGGGTCATGAGACAATAAACTACATTTCCTGTTATAAAAATGTCCTGTGCTTGCACCCCCCTCCCATCCTCCCACCATGCTACAGCCCCATTCTCTGCTCACACGCAGCTGCAAAAATAGTGCAGCTCTAACATCACACAAACACAGCAAGGGCATATAGGTGATAGAGCATTGTGTCATGCACTTTCCAGGGTTCACAGTTAAAAGAAGTCTACAGTGATGTGATCTCCCTCCCTCCCAGACAGGATCAGTGCTTTTGTTTCACCACATAGTGTGCCAGTTTAATTAGAAGGAGCAGTGGAATCAGCCCTTATTTGATCAGTGAGCAGACATCAGTCTCAAACATTCCCAATATATCAGGCAGGATATAATCATATAATAGTTCGGAACTAGAGTCCATGGGTTCAGATGCAGACAGTGGCTTTAAAGTGGTCTGGGAATGGGTCTAAAGGTGTATTTAAATTAATAATCAATCATTTGCTTTTTCTTCCTCCATTTCTAGATTATTCCAACAGCAGTCTGGTCTTTCTATCTCAAATTGAACAAATGAAATAACAATTGACAAAGCATGACAGTTTCACAGTGCTTTACTGCCATTAACAGGAAAACTGCTGATGCCGACTTCCTGTCTGGCGTATCTTCCTTGCGATATATGCTTCTGTTGGAAAACCCTCAAAACAAGAACACAGAATTTCTCAAAGTCAACGAACATCCACCAAGTACCAAATACTGCTAAAATATGTATTTGCCAGACATACCAGTAAGAGCTGCCAGCCACAATAGCTTATTTTTGCTGTGTATTCAGCACTTTTTACATGTGTAGAAACAGTGATGTTAACAAACTTTCACAGCTTTCATGACCCATAACAAGTCAGAAACCATTGGTCCAGTGTGGACCAGTGTGTTCTTAATTACCTGTCAGCATCAGTCACCAGAGCGAGGCGTCCATAGTCCCATGCTAATTTTCTCAAGATGGAGAACACAAACAGCAGGACCTACAAGAAGAAGAAAAACAGCGACAGTCACCTCCATTACCTTTACTGGCATTACAGAAGCCTACTGAACAAAAGTTACAGAATAACTTGAAGGTGCTTTGTAATTAAAAACACATTTCTCTATATTCCCCGTTTTGAAAGTTTGAAGGTCTTGTATTTCATGGTGATTATGATATATTTTTTAACTGGTGCAAAAATGTACTCATCAGCTGTAGTAACTGCATTCTCCATTTCACTGACAACAGGACTCACCAAGAAGCACATAAAGTCAAGGGCAAGGACAGTTGGTACGCCACCAAAAGGCAGGCCCTGGAGCACTGTACTGCGAATTCGAGCCGAGTAACAGTAGTCCTTTGTGTTTGTGCCATTGGACAGCCCTGTCGGGGAGCACTCTGAATCAGAGCATGCTTGAGCCCCCCAGGTGGCCATTATTAAGATCAACACTCGGTACATCACTCACTACAACATGCTGTCAGCCTGTGAAGAAGAGAGAAAAGTGTTATAACACTAAGTATGGTAATTATTTCTATTGCATTCTCTATAATGGCCAAGTGTACCTTCCCCCAGTATAGAGACAGAAAGGGAGAGACATGGAAATGTACAATTTCTGTCCCTTTTTACTGAGTCTGGCATTTCTGTCTTGTCATCAGTCACATTCTGCTGTAGACATTGAATAAGTGCATGAAAGACAAACTTTGTTCCTTTTTTGTGGCCACTATATGGGTCAATGACACATAGTTAACCTTTTTTTTCTAAATTCAATAAATGTAATGGGCTTTGAGAACAGTGAGTCCAATGTTCAGTCTATATTTGGATCAGAGGACCAAAGCAATAAGCTGAAAATAGGACTGAACGATATAAAAAATAAATGATAGGAAAATGACAAACTCTAATAAACTGTCAATAAGGGGGAATTTTGATAGATCACATCACAGAAAGGGAGGCGATTCTAACCTATAGCTTGGTATTAGCATCAAAACATACAGTACCAAAAGTAAAAGCAGTCGTTACACAGAAAGGCACATACTATCACATTCATCTATATTATTGGATTATAATTATTGATGCATCACTGTTTTCAAAGTCAAGTAAACAAACAGCAAGAAATAACATTTTGAATTATATTGTGATAACTATCGTTAGACTGATATGAAAAAATTATGATAAATACATACTTTAAATAAATACATATTTTTCCATATAACCCAGCCCAAGCTGAGAGCCACGAGCTGCTGAAAAGTTGGAGAAACCTTTCACATTACAATGTGTCATTTAACTCTTAAGTAGGGTGTCTAGCCCTGACAAGTCGGAATAATCAAATGTATCCTGTGGTGATGAGCTACACATTGGGTATCTTTATATTCTGTTACTTTACATTCTTCCATCTGGTCTCTGCAGCTGACCTCACAAGCTACATAAAGATTAACGATGGAAAAAAACACTGACAAAGCATGAATTGTTTATGAGGGGTAATAAGTGATATGAGAAATGTACCTCAATAGCATCCTAAGTAAGCCCATATAGTCCTTCCTCCTGCCCTTGCACACAGCACAAATGAGGTCTGATACACTAGTCCTTGTAACACTAAGGTTACACATTCACTGACTCCCTTGGACAAGACAGGACTTAGATGACCATTAGAACACTGTAGCAAATATGAGTGGCAACAAGGCATGTATTGCTTAGATAAAATAATATCCACCAATTCAATACCTGTAGTCAACTAATGACATATCAAAAAAAACCTTTGGAAATAGCCAACATCCTCTACAGATGCACAGCACTTGCAAAACACAAGAGTTTGTACAGTTTTAAGCAAAATATTTGTTTGAGAAGCTGAGACAGAAAACCAGAGCATCTTCATCCTATTAAAAAAAAGACTGCTTGGAGAAGGCACGTAGGTGTTCTGGATAGGTGGGGTGAGTTGCACTGCTCTACGTGTGCCATTCGACCCACCATTACCAGCAGCATTCACAATGCTACTCATCTGCCCCAACACTAACTCATTTATCCGCTCCCGGGAATGCTGTGACATCAGCAGAGAGGGACGCAGCCAGAGCTGAACAATAAACCGATAGAGAGCACAGGGTTCAAATGGACCGGTCTCAACCCAAAGAAGACACAACATACCCCCCCGTGCCTTCAGTAACACTGCTGCACATCCAGGACCCACTGCCACAGGTGAAACTGCTTGAAATTCAACATCAACATCTGAGAAAGGACTTTAGCAGTACATCTCAAACACACTGAAGTTATAGATGTTACTTAGGTAGCGGTAAGCTCGCCTCTTGGGGCTGCAGTCTCGTGTGAATACCAGGAAGTCAAAAGTTTTGTATTTTCTTCATTGACATGGTCCGTCTTTAAAATGTACACAGTGTTTATATAAAAATTTGTCATAATGTCATTTCAACAGAACAACCCAACACTTGAAAATGCAATGCAATAGCCCTGCAATAAATGTCCCCCGTGTATAAATGATTGGCAGAATAGTGCTGAGTCAAGAGCTGAATTACAAGTCGCTTAAGGTGGTATTTATTACAGTATTGCATTACACAGTCATGATATTCTGTTCACAACTTAGTCATGTGAAAAAATTAGAACACCCTTTGAAAGCATGTGTATTTTGTAACATGTTTTAATATATGGTTATTTAATCTCAATTTTAACAATACAGAGAGATTCAAGTAATACAACTAAACAATTAAAACTGAAGAAAAGTCTTTTCGAGATCTTCTGTAAATGTAATTCTACAAAAATGCCTATTCTAACTGAGGAAAAAGATAGCACACCCTAGCCCCTAATAGCTAGTGTTACCTCCTTTGGCTGAAATAACTGCAGTGAGACGGTTCTTGTAGCCATCTACCAGTCTCTGACATCTGTCTGAGGGAATTTTACCCCACCCTTCAATGCAGAATTGTTTCAGCTGTGAGATGTTTGAGGGGTTTCTTGCATGTACAGCCCTTTTCAAGTCACCCCACAGCATCTCAATGGGATTCAGGTCTGGACTTTGACTCGGCCATTCCAGGACTCTCCATTTCTTCTTTTTCAGCCAGTCTTTGGTTGATTTACTAGTATGTTTTGGGTCATTGTCATGTTGCATGGTCCAGTTCCGCTTCAGCTTTAATTTTCTAACCAATGGTCTCACATGTTCTTCAAGCACCTTCTGATACACAGTAGAATTCATGGTGGATTCTATGATGGTGAGCTGACCAGGTCCTGCTGCAGCAAAGCAGCCCCAAACCATGACACTTCCACCTCCATGCTTCACAGTTGGTATGAGGTTCTTTTCCTGGAATGCTGTGTTTGGTTTACGCCAAACATGTCCTCTGCTCTGGTGTCCAAATAATTCAATTTTGGACTCATCTGTCCAAAGAACATTATTCCAGAAGTCCTGGTCTTTGTCAACATTCTCTCTGGCAAATGTCAGTCTGGCCTTGATGTTTCTCTTAGAGAGCAAAGGTTTCCTCCTTGCACACCTCCCATGCAAGTTAAACTTGTGCAGTCTCTTTCTGATTGTAGAGGCATGCACTTCTACATCAACAGTAGCCAGAGCCTGCTGTAGATCTCGACATGACATTTTAGGGTTTTTGGAGACCTCTTTTAGCATCTTGCGGTCTGCTCTTCTCACTCTCACTTCAACAGTCAGGAGCACACCAAACTAAATGTCTGAGGTTCAGATAGGGCAAGCCTCATTCAAAATGCTGAGTAACGATCTACTAATTATGTGCACCTGGTGTGATATACCTGTGTGTGATTTGAGCCATTTTAAGAGGGCATACATGTGAGGGTGTGCTATCTTTTCCTGTTAGAATAGGCATTTTTGTAGAATTACATTTACAGAAGATCTCGAAAAGACTTTTCTTCAGTTTTAATTGTTTAGTTGTATTACTTGAATCTCTTTGTATTGTTAAAATTGAGATTAAATAACCATATATTAAAACATGTTACAAAATACACATGCTTTCAAAGGGTGTCCTAATTTTTTCACATGACTGTATGTCATGCCTTTTATTAGTTTTCCTGGCCAAACGGCCAAATGTTTATAGTGATTTTAGGCAAACTACATTTTATTATCATTTCAATGTTTACAACAATTTCTACAGCACTATTTGAATACAGCATGACTCAGCAGCACAGAAATGCTGTACCACCTTTCCACCTGATGCTGTTTGCTATTGTACCATCAGTCTGGCACACACTCTCTAAATAGAATTAAACATTAAGGGTATGAAGGTGGTGGAGAACAAAACCCTATCTAATTGAAACTCAGTTGTTCCACAGCTTAAACAGGCACAGTATATTGTTTTGCTTCTAGCTGGACAAACTATCAGAACAGAATGTCTAGGAGGACAAATGAAAAGAAAGATGTTTATTACATGCTAATAAGACAGAGCCAAACCTTTTTACTGTACCTCCACCTTAATGCACTGGAGAAATTGACCTCTGAAACTGCACAACACTAATGCTTTACATTCACAATTAGCAACAGCACATATTCATGGCCTTGTGCATTTAAAACTACAATGTTTTCCATTTGTATATTAGTCATGGTTCATTTAGTTTTTAGAAGTTAAATATTGAACAGATTTTGTTCAATACATCTAAACTGTGGGTTATTATGTAAGCAGCTGTCAAGCAACACCAACTTGACATGCTCCACCTTGCTTTCCCACAAAATAAAACTCAATTTATCAAAGGAGGAATGGACACACACACACACACACACACACACACACACACACTTAGATGCCAACAGTAAGGTTAATTACTTACATTCAACTCATTTACACTAGTCTAAAACCTAAATAAAGCCCAGAAACCTTTAACGTAGTAGGTTATTTATGATTATGTGACTGGATAAGTCAAGCCAACAGCTCTCCCGAAAAACCATGGTGCGCTCCCTGCAGAAGGAGTTCCACTTTCATTAACATAACATGTTCACTTGCACTTCCAGTGAATACAAGAACCAAAGAATTTGTGAACAGCCTAAAAAGAGCTGGAAATTACCACATACATTTGCTCAAATGTACTGTAATCAAACTGTACTTGCATGTCAAAGTATTAATACTGTATGTAAAGATAGTTTTGAATCACTTATGCTATGTTCATCTTATGAATTCACAAACTTGCTCTTCATTTTAATATGCAGTATGTGCATTCTGCTTCACAACAGTATCAAGCTTAGCATGAATGCTCAAACAATGCTGATGTCTGATAATGCTGATTGGTACATATTATCCTTGTTGATATTAGCCTGTAAATCATTAACAAGTGCTCAATGCCTGATTTTGGTTATCACAGATTATATTGACATCTGAGTGCGATTTCATAACTGAGTCAAAGGATGTATGTAAAATTAAGACCTCACACAGGAGAGAAGAGAAAAGGAGTTAAATGCTGGAGTTTAAATGACATATCTTCCTCTGCTCATATAGATTCAGGTGTAATTACTCAGTATGTGTTGGTGAAAAATGTTTCTACTGACAGCTCATAAATTCAACACCAAAGTGAGCAAACCAAGACTGACATTAGATGACAATAAAAAATGTTGCTAGATGATAAACGATTATCACACTGAATAGAATACAAGTGCGCATAGCTTTTTGTCTAAAATCATTAGCATGTCTTACTGTTGTATAAATTCAGTGAACTGCCTTTTCTCTGTAAAGGTAATCTTACTATGAAATCGAATTCTGTCTTCAAAAGGACTGAGCTGTATTCCACCCTGTCATCTGATTCTAAAGGAAAGCCTAGGCTGAGATAAATCAAACAGACAACAAACTGCTGCAGCTATTCAGTAGACTTCTTTTGAGTTATACAGTAATAATACTACATAATGTGTGGTTTGCAGTCTGATTAATGTCTGTCTTAGAGCAATGTGAAAAGCTGATTTATCTGTTTCATGGTCATTATAAATACATGACTTAAGCAGTTGGTCAGACTAATCGGGCAACTTTAAGGCTTCACTTTTCATTCAGCTTGTGATAGGTACTCGTCTTTTCTCACATTTACAGACGCAATAACTGAATGATGCCACAAAATGAGCAATATTTAAATATATTCATGAAAATATATGACAGGAACTGTCCTCGTAAGCAGTATAAAAACAAGAGGAATTACAGTAGGAAACCGTGGATGAGTAAGGGATTACAGAATGCATGTAAAAAGAAGAATGCGTTATATAAGGATTTCATAAAGGACAGATCAAAGAAGGCGGAAGAAAAATATAAGTTATATAAGAACAAATTAACTGCGTTATTGAGGATATGTAAGAAACAATATTACTCTAAAGTATTAGAGGATAATAAAAAAATAACATGAAAGGTACTTGGAATATATTAAATAAATTGATTAGAAACAGTACCAGCAGGAGTAACTACCCTCAATATTTTATGGACAATGATACACCGGTCAACAGATTTGAGGATGTAGTTGAGAAGTTTAATAGGTTTTTTGTGAATGTGGGTCCTGGTTTAGCAAGTAGCATTTGTACAGATGTCATTATAAATAACAATACAATTGAAAGGAATATGTGTTCTATGTGTTTCTGAAGCCAATAGTTGAAAAGGAAATTATAAAAATAGTGAACAAATGTGGTAATAAATCATCCAGTGATAGTGATGGTATCAGTATGACAATGGTTAAATGGGCAATTGAG